CTCAATACATTCTGGCCTCTTGAAGGAGTAAACAGGCCCACTGCAGCTTGGAATTAGCAGGCCAGGACTGGGGGGCTGAGGAATCTATGTAGTTAACAGTTGCCTGGATGGTGGCGGCCTAAGAGGTTCTTGGAGCTTGTGCCTGGAGATGCTATGTGTGGTAGACATGACAGGTGTGGACTTGAAATGCAGCACAGAACCAAATGTGAGGACGCTCGATGCTGTGCTTGCAGCCCTGAGGGTGGCTCGACAAGTTGCAGGCTCCACTTGCCTCTCGCTTGTTCTCTATGCCCTCTGCCCACAAGCCACACAACAGGTGGAAGAGGTGGGAGGGAACACAGAAAGAAGTCCTCAGAAATCCTTGCAGCACGGCGGTGCACAGGTTGGACAGGAACTAGGAGTACAATGCATATGCCTCAAAGACGAAATGAAAGGCAGGCTGAAAGCCAGAGCTGGGGTGGGAGCCGGGAACAGTGAATGCCGCCTGCCCTGGACGGGGTGGGAAACACACTGAATGCCCAGTGGCCTGTACTCAGTGAGACTTTTTCTTATTCTCCAACTCACATGTATGCTACATATAGCATACATAGTTCACTGTTGGAAAGGTTATGGAGGGGTTTTTGTCTTAATTAAGTCTTTAAGTGGACTCACAGTAAAGGAGTTAATACATCTACCAAAATGAGAACATTATGCACTTCTGTTCTGTTGTACATTGCTAAGTCTTGCCCTCCAGATCTTTGTGAGAGCTGAAGGGCACATGGGTCTTCTCTGAGAAGATCACTTATAGCACAATAAATAAAAGACCCAGAGACTGATACTGGGATTCAAGCTTCAAGCTGTAGATCAGAGAAGCAAAGCAGCTGGCCGCTAGCTCTTACCTCTGCCTCAGTTCAGACCAAAGGGGTGATCTTCAGACTGCTCCTGACTTCACTGCTCCTCATATTCACTCATAGACTGCTATGCTCTCCTCAGTGTGTCTAGAGTCTAACTCTCAAACTGAATGCCTTTACCATTTATACCTTTCAAATCCTGGGATTAAAGGTGTGAATTCTTATTCACTCTCCCGTAGCCCAGGGTGGTCTTGAACTCAGAGACCCATCTGCCTTTCTACTGAGTCCTAGGATTAAAGGTGTGTGCCTGGCTTCTATGGCTAACTAGTATGGGCTGCTTTGCTATTTTTATCTCCAGTGGTTTTAATAAATCATAAACAATATATCACCACAATCACTTACAGCACACACCTGGTTCCTCAGCTCTCCGACTTGCCCTCACACCTCTCTCCCTCCTTATCTGGCCTCAAGGCCAGACCCATTCTTGAGGTCTAATGTTCTCTCTAATAACAGCTTTCTCCTGTTATTCCCCTAAATCCTAATTTTGTTTGGTCTTTTTGTTTGGGGGAATGATCTCCTTTTCTTTTCTTTCCTTTCCTTTTTTTTTTTTTTTTTTTTTTTTTTTTTTTTTTTTTTTTGAGACAGGGTTTCCCTGGCTGTCCTGGAGCTCATTTTGTAGACCAGGCTATCCTCAAACTCACAGAGATCCACCTACCTCTGCCTCCCTGTGTGCTGGGATTAAAGGTATGCAGCACACCTGACTTGTTTTGTCTTGAAGTGTAATGTATATAAAATGAAAAGTACAAATATAATTTTTTGAAAAATCACAATCATACAACTTATATGCTCACATCTCTACAGAGAATATCTATAGGGATGTGGGCTACATGGGTTCACACAGTCCCCTTGTTCCAGAATGTTCTTTCCTGCTGCACCACCCCCCCAGCTATAGCAATCTCTCCCTGGTTCTTTCTCCATCACTGTTCTTATTTCTTTTATAAAAGAGTCATTATCTTTTTTTCCTTTTTATTGTTGAGTTGTGTTCCATTGTATGACTGAATATTTCTCCATTAACCAGTGGGTACATGTTTGAGTTGTTTGCAACTTGGAATGTTGTAAATAAAATCCCCACAAATATGCTTGTACAAGTTTATTTTCTGTGCCTGTGTTTTCATCCCTCTTGCGTAAAAGCTTGCGGTTGAATCTGGGTTATCAGTTACGAGTATGGTCATCTTGCTGAGACCCTGATGAACCTTTTTCAAAACGACTCACCATTTCACACTCTGTCTCACACAACACCCAGGAGTCCTGGTGGTCTCACTTGTCATCTTTGCTGGTGTCAGTGCTGACTTTTTCTTTTTGGTTTTCCATTTCTGTTTGGTTTGTCTTGAGGGGAGAGTTGCTAAAGGGCCTCACTGTGTAGCCAAGACTGACCTCACAATGGAACTCACCACCTTCTTGCTGTCCAAATGCTGGAGCTACAGGAGCTCTGTGCTTAGTTTTACCTCTGTGCTTAGTTTTACAATTTCAGCCATTTGTTCTGATTTAAATTTGAATTCTCCAGGTAACTCTGATGTTGAGGAATTTTTCAAGGAATTGTTGGCAAAAGAACTCTTTTTTGTGTATATATGTTTCTGGTATGTGTACTGGGAAGGTTTATATTTACATGTGT